TGTTTGGTGGTAAACTTAACTTTAACTGCATAGACCAGTCATAGAAAATCGTGGAATCCCCACAGTGTGGAAGCATGCCATTCAGCCCATGCAGTGCACACCAACCCTCCAAAGAGCATCCCAACCAGACACACCCCCTAGTCTGTCCCTATAACCCTGCATTTCCCATTACTAATCCACCTAATATGCACATGTTTGGACTGTGGGAGGAAACCAGAGCACCCAGAAGAAACCCACGCAGACACAGGGAGAATGTGCAGACTCCACACAGACTGTTGCCCGAGGCTTGAATCGAACCCAGATCCCTGGCACTGTGAGGCAACAGTGCTAACCACTGAGCCACCCTGATGGAAGGAAGATCATTCAAGTAGCTAGCTGAGGATAACTCATTGAAACCTCTTGTCATTTTTAATGTTGACTGAGAGCAGACTGTTGAAGTGGTAAATGGTTAGGTTGCATTTATCCTGCATTTTATGGAGAGAACATACGTGGGCAATTCTCCTCAGTGTCAGGTACATGCATGTGTTGCAGACATCAGGCAAAGAAGTAGGATTACCTCTTTAGGGGCTTTGTGTGCCCAGCAATGGCATCTTCCAAGATCAGGACACTCCCGTTAACCCTTTGCATTTGACCTTACTATAGCAGCTCTGCACCCCTCCCCGCACCCCCCCCAACTTATTCGGTATGGTCCTGAAAGTCCTGCTGTGAATCAGTTAGGCTGCTTCCTATGTTTCATTGCTGTAAGGCTGCTGGATTCTAAGTCGATAGACTGAAGACTGACTTTTCCATTTTTTAGGGGTTAGAGAATAGGTGTTCATAACTAATATCCAGCCATATGATGTGGTACATTTTGCAAATTTGTATAAATAGCATCACCCAGGGTGAAGGTAGATGTCAATCATGATCTAGAGTAGAAAAGGCTTGAGGGTCTGAATGGTCTACCCCTGCTCCTAACATTAATCTTCTTTATTTTTTTCATCAGCACCAGTCAGCTTTCAATAATCCTGATATTGGAGGAATGGTTACAGCTAAAATTGTTGTGGGTCAGTCACCAGTCTGCTTGCGATTTAGCAACAAGACCTGATTGAAAAAGAATGAACGGATTATACCAAAAGAGAAATGCCAAAAGCCAGCTTGAAAATTATGATTTTGAAAAATAAAAACAAGTTCTTGGTCTAACGAGAGGACCCTTTAAATTACAATACCTGAGCCTTCTGAAAATTGACTTATAGAGTGTGCATTTCCAAGACCTGATAAAAAGAAATAGTTTGAAAGAGATTTGGACCATAAGTTATAGACTCGGGCTGTGGTTCAGTATATCCCTTAATTGCTCATCTTGTAACATACTGCAAGCAATAAAGTTCCCTCTTCCCCAGCAATTTTATAAATCTGCTTCATTGAGCAGTAAAAACCTAGTTTATTCTGGTACCATGCCAAGCACAAGATCCAATAAGCTCGCTGCATTTGTTCATTTGAACAGTAAGAGTGAAAAGACCATTAGACCCATTAGGACATAGAAAATCACCAGATGACAAAAAACTCCAGATTCATCTCGTTTACTTTCCACCATCCTTTTGTTACATGATAAAGCTAAAATGAAATTGTTGACTACCCCTCACAGTGTTGATGAAACCCTCAAATTACCTCCCTACATCTCCCAGCTTCTCTATCCTGCTATCCTTCTTTTAGACACCTCTTAAAATCTTTCTTTGATCAAGCTTTTAGGATCTTACCTAATATTCTGTGGGTCATTCTTTGTTTCTAATAGCCCTGTGAAACACCTTGGAATGTTTCATCAACACTGTGAGGGGTAGTCAACAATTTCATTTTAGCTTTGTCATGTAACAAAAGGATGGTGGAAAGTAAACAAGATGAATCTGGAGTTTTTTGTCATCTGGTGATTTTCTATCTCCTAATGGGTCTAAAGGTCTTTTCACTCTTATTGTTCAAATGAACAAATGCAGCGAGCTTATTGGATCTTGTGTTTGGCATGGTACCAGATAGGGAGGATAGAGAACATGGAGGAATGTGAAAACAGTGATAAGAATATTGAAATCAAGATGGGGCTTTCCCAGGAGCCAATGTAAGTAAGTGAACATGGTTGATAGGTAAAAAGGATTGGCTGTGATTTAAGACATCAGCAGCAAGGTTTTGGATGACTTCCCATTCATTCAGGTAGAATGTGCATTGGAATAGTTGAGTCTTGAGGTAATGGAGACATGAATGGAAGATTCAGCAATACATAACCTGTGATAGATGTGAAGTCAGACAATGTTACAGAAATGGAAATAAGTGATCCATAGTGAAGGCACAAAAATGAAGTCAGAAGCTAAAATTTGACAAGAAGGTTGGGAACAGACTGACTTATTCTCAGACTGTTACCAGGGAGAAGGATGGAATCGGTAGCCAGGGAATGGATTTAGACTTGGGACCAAAAACAATGACTTTGGTCTTGCCAATGTTTACTTTGATGTAAGTAGCAACGAGTGTCATCAGTATTTACGGTGAAGACTGCTGCTGTGCCTCAGGATCTGTAATGAGGTGTAATGTGCAAATGTGAAATAGGAGGCAGACAAGGACCAATCTTTGGCAAATACCAGCATCAATATTGTGGGAGCAGAAAATGAAGATACAACAAGTAATTCTCTGGCTATTATTAAATGAATAAGATTAGAACCAGATGAGAACAGTGCTACCAGCTGATGACAGTGGAAAATTGTTGAAGGAGCTGTTTCAAAGGCTGCAGACAGCTGAAGAAGGATGAGAAGGGATGTCTTCCCTGCCTATCAGTTTTTACTTAGTCCACAGCAAACTTAAGACATGAGGTGAGGGAAAATCCAGTGGTGGAGAACTTTAGGAACCGAAGATCCAAAATCACCTGCACTTCCAAAGCCTGCTACACTTGCCATGTCAAATTTTAAATTACTGTATCCCAAAATATTATTTTATGAAAGAAAGTTGTTATAATTCTCATTCTCAATTTTAAATAATTCCCCACCTCCTCCAGCTGCCGGTCATATTAGCTCCGATGGGAAAGAAAAGCAATAGGAAATTTACAAAAAGACTGTTGTAAGCAATCTGAGGAAAGTTCTTGGGAAGTTCATCTCCAATGCCAGAAAGCACTTAGCCTTTCAGACTGTGTTGGGATTTGCAGACTATTTGACTGTGAAGGGTAGTGGAGAGTTCACAAACAATTTTGGCCTCATTCCCTGTTTAAATACATGCTTTATGGACTAATATCTCATTGAATAATAATCAAGAGAAAGACCTCAGGCAGAATTCCTTCTCCATCTCAGCCCACAGGCCAGAAACAAATTATGCTATCTCAATATTTGCTCCAACTGAGATTAGATAACCCACATTGAACAAAACAGTTTCCAGCTAGCTAATGACCAAGGTGGTTTCCAGCCTACCAGAGTTAGTATTGTTATGATCGCAGCTGAATTTATTACTGGACAAGTCAAATGCCAGACTGAAATCTAGCATGCTAGATCATTTTCTGTTTGTTTTTAGTTTAATGAGGTTGTCCTGCACCAGAACATAAACACACAATCCTGCAGATTTGGTTTTAATAACAAAAGTTATTTCACAAAAGAAATGAGGATAAAATAGAACAAACCAAAGCAAAGCAAGTTTGAAGATTTTGAAACACATGGTAAAATAGGATCCCATTCATCCCCTTAGCACCCCAGCACTCTCACACCAGACAGAATTTCCTTCCTTTCACTTCTATAGAGCTTAATTAAACTGATATTTCAATTCCCACTGTTGAGAATCTGATAGCCTCTTCCTTGAATCTCCAAACAGATTAGCGTAGACTTTCTCTACCTCAAAAAATTGCTTTAGTATTGTAACGAAGTCCTCTCATTCTGAAACTTTCAAACTAAACTCTTTATACCAAAAAAAATTTCTTAATCGTTCTAAACTATCTGTTTTTCATGAGAAACTGAAACTGAGAAGTTTTCTTCAAACTATAGGTGTTTCCTCTAAGCCAAAAGAAATACCATTCCATACCCTTGTAACAGAAATCTGTTACACTACGCTGTTTACTTTGCTCGTTAATAAAAACTCCTCAATGTAAAGAAATTCTCATTTGTCTCTATAGATTATCTCACACTTTTTTAAATTTATGACCTTGACAAAGGAAAAGTAGTTATTCAGCAAACCCCTTCATAGACGTAGACCAAAATTCACATGCCACTAGTTCAAAATGCAAACTCTAAAATACATGATATTGAAATCTATATAAGACACAATACCTTATATCATTCTGTTACCAGGTAAATGGTCTTACAACCAGGCCATAAAGGAAGACTAGAGTTTTGCTCCAATAAATCATCAGAGGTTAAAGATTTTTAATGATTTAACAGAGGAGGTTGGGGTAATTTATATTCAGCAGTTGTTTTCAAATTAAATTTGGTTCACATGAGATCAAATTTGAAGGAATGAATTGAAACCAGTTAGAATATCGATCCATGAAGGTGATTCTTACATTTCATTATATATTATATATTAGAAATGCCTCATTTGTTTGATATCTGCAAAAATCCTTGGAATTCCTTCTGAATGTGTTTGCCTTTGAACCATTTGTGGTGTAAGGATGGGGACTATGATTGGTAGATCAATCCCTGGCCAATCCCTGGACATAGGGCTGAGGAATGATCAAATATCATGTCTTTAGAATAATGTGACACTTGGTACGGAACAGTAGAGAATGGAAGGTGGACACAGCAGGCAAGAACTTTCATCTTAAATTCAACGCCACCTTTTCTCAGAGAACTGCTGGCATAAATGTTGCCTTCTCAGTAAACATTGTTACTTTCTGTGCTAGAAAGAACTTAACAAAATGAACTCACTGTGAACAGAGGTGAATTCATTGCAGTGGATATGGGAGACCTCAACTCCAGAGAAAATCTTATCTAGATCTGGAATTTGTTGTTTGTTAAAGATTCAACATATAAAGTGTTGCTGACAATAATTTCAGCATTGTACTCTTTCAGATCATTCCCGATTATAACAATGTGCAGAACTTAACCTACTTGGACATGGTGATCTCAGAGTCTCTACGCATGTACCCACCTGGAGTCAGGTAAAAAGAAATGTTCAAGAAGCTTTCAGAGATTATAGTGAGAATCAGGTTAAAAAAAACTTTAAAAAGTATTGTTATAAAACAAACAATATTTTATTCTATATTACATACATTTCCACAGGGTTTTGTAGATGCAGGATTTCACAGTAACTTTTTCAGGTAGTGATTGGCTGAATCAAGCATATCAATAATATGTCCATGGTATATAATAAAATAAACTTCAGTCTTAAGGAATTGTTACAGATGTAGGCATCACACTGTGCTGTTGACCTTTCTTAATGCTCGGCAAACTGTGGATTGGGAGTTTACCTTTTAGCTGTTCTGCTGACAGCTTTTATATTGCTTCCTTCCTAGGCATCACAGCTGGCCCAAGCCTGTCCAAGCTTCATTTTCCTTTGAATATAAAGTGTTTTGACACCAGACCAAATCAGACTCGCTAACACTTGATTCTCAATACAGTGAAATTAAAATATTTGATAACCGTCAGAACTGTTCCTAACCAGACTTTACAAATAACTGATATTGGACATGTTTATAACTTAAACAAAAATTAGCAGAACACAGAAAAACTATAAGGCAATCTAATTAATACCTACAATCTAAGCCTAATCTTCTTCGATCAATTCACACACCAACAGACAGACGAACACAGTTAAAGGATAAATATTTTAAAAATTGAAGAATTTAAATTTGATAACCATTTCAACGATGAATACCAAGCCTTCTTGAAATCTGACAGGTTGTATTAAAGGCAGGTAGGATTGTATCTTGCTTGAATTCTGAAGTCACTAGTTAATGCAAACAGTTTTAGGGGAGGCATAGTGGCTCAATGATTAGCATTGCTACCTCACATCGCCAGGGACCCAGGTTCGATTCCACCTTCGGGTGACTGACTGTGTAGGGTTTGCACATTGTCCCCACATCTGTGCAAGTTACCTCTGGGTGCTCTGGTTTCCTCCCACAGTTCAAAGATATGCAGGTTAGGTGGATTGGCCATTCTAAATGCCCAATGGGGTCCAGGGATATGTGGGCTAGGTGGATTAGCAATGGGATTGTAGGGATAGGATGGAGGGGTAGGTCTGGGCAGGATGCTCTTCGGAAAGGCGGTATGGACTTGATGGGCTGAATGGCCTGCTTCCACACTGCAGGGATTCTATGATTCTAGCGCCGCAGAACTCTGGAGACTTTTTCTGATTTCTTATAGACTGGAGTTCTTTTCTCTGGACTTCCAAGAAGTTGATAACTGGAGAATAACTAGTGAGAGCAAAACCAATCAACTCAGTGCTGCAGCTTCCAAAGCAGCACTCTATCTTCTGCCCAAAAACCCAGTCAAAACTTTGGTTTCTCTGTCTTTTTCAACATTCCCTGTGGCCTGCACATATCCTCTACTAACTGACCAATTCAGCATCCAACTAGCTGCCAGTCCCTCAGCATAAGATCTTTAGCTGGTTCATATATAGGGTTAAATACTGCTCAACCTACATTATCTTTCCAGACCAGTGCCCAACCACAAATGTCCATCATTTGTTCTCTCCCTATTCTCAAAATAAGCTGCTGTTCAAAGCTCAACTCTCAACTACAACTCACAGTTCCAAACCAAAATTGATGAAAATTAAACGTAATGAGAATCTCAACAAAAACAAATAGTGGACTCTATAATAGACAATCACTAGTCTTTAAATCAGAAAAAAAAGTTCTGTGCTTTGAAAGAGCAATGCAATTAATTCTATTCTCCTCTGACTCTATCTCTGCAGACATTATTCCCTCAGGTATACAGGTATCCAGTTTCCTTTTGAAAGTTATTGTTGAACTCTTTCCTACCACCTATCAGGAAGTATATTCTCCTTCATAAACTGTACAAAAATAAAAATATTACCTCCTGTGGTTCTTTCACCAACTATGTTGCTCTGTATCCTCTTGTTAGCAGCCCTCCTGCCAGTGGGCAGAGTTTTTCCTTATAAAAACTCACTGTAAGTTTGAATATTTCTATTAAATCTTTTGTTAATCTTCTCTGCTCTAAGGAGAATAACCTGAGCTTCCCTCATCTTTTTATCTATTGAAGCCTTTCATAAAGTACTATTAGAAATTGAAAGCTTGGTTTGCAGTCGCCCTGTAGTGCCAAGCAATGTAGTATAGAATTACTCCACTGATATTGTCTTGCCAACCAGGAGGGCCAAGATTGACATTTGACAATGAATGTGGAGCTGGAAAAGCACAGCAGGTCAGACAATTTCCGAGGAGGAGGGAAGTCAATGTTTTGGGCCGAAATCCTTCGTCAGGTTTTGGCTTAAAATGTTGACTTCCCTGCTCCTCAGATACTGTCTGACCCGCTGCGCTTTTCCAGTTCCACGTTTATTGACTCATGCTTCTAGCATCTGCAGTCCTTACTGTCATCATTGATTTTTGACCTGTGCTGAGCTCAGCTGAGCTGATATCAGAGCCTTTTGCCATAAGGAAGTGGGAATGGGGGGAAGCACAAAGCAAGGTTTTCCACTCCTGGTTGTGATCGAGTAACTTCCTTGGATGGATGCAGCTGCAGCAACACTCAAGAAGTTTGACACCATCCATGACAAAGCAGCCCACTTGATTGGCACTATATTCACAAACATCCACTCTCTCCAACACTGATGCTCAGTAGCAGCAGTGTGTACTGTCTACAAGATGCACTGCAGAAATTCACCAAAGATCCTCAGACTGCACCTTCCAAACCCACGACCACTTCCATCTAGAAGGACAAGGGCAGCAGATATATGTGAACACCACCACCTTCAAGTTCCCCTCCGAGCCACTCACCGTCCTGACGCGGAAGTATATTGCTGTTCCTTCGGTGTCATTGGGTCAAAATCCTGAAATTCTCTCCCTAATGGCATTTGTGAGTCAACGCACAGCAGGTGGAATACAGCAGTTCAAGAAGGCAGCTCACCACACCACCTCCTCAAGGGCATCTAGGGACGGGCAATAAATGCTGGTCAGCCAGTGATACCCATATCCCACAAAATGAATAAGAAAAAAACAAAACAACCTCTGTAGAATGTGTCTGCGAAGGACATATGGTGCTCATGTACCCATACTAGATAACAGTGCCTTCAGGGAAAGAGAGGACTGACTGTTTGTGTATATGGTTACTAACTGTAAAGACCAGAGTTAAAGTAACCAACACTTGTTTTGCTCTGCTGCAGGTTTAGTCGCGTGTGTGAAAAAGACTGTTTGGTGAATGGGCAGTTTATTCCTGCGGGGATAACTGTCGAAGTTCCAGTCGGTGTCCTCCACTATGACCCCAAATACTGGTCAGAACCAGAGAAATTTAAACCAGAGAGGTGGGTAGCAACCAGTGTAGTACCTGTAATGCTGTAAGGCAATGTGTGATGCTTCACAGGAGTTTTATTGACCGACATTAATTCTGAACAAGAAAGAAATTATTAAAGCAGGTGACTAAACACTTGGTCAAAGAAATTAACAGGATTATCAGCATTTTCCGCACTGAAAATTGACCTACACTGAACCAGCAACAAGAGAAAGTAAATGCGTGGAAAGTTAAGCTGTGCAGATAAACCATATATGCCACCCACTTTCATCATTTGTTCATTGTCCGAGGGAGAACAAAATGTATATCTCAAGATGTATTGAACCGAAAAGGATTTTCATCTCTATTACTGCCATTCTATTAGTTTCTTCGCTGAAGCTTCCCAGCCAACCAGCTGTGATTGCTGGTACCCATACTAAGATGCTGCAAAAATAGGTGGGAAGGCCAGTGGTGGGGATAACACAAAGAGTCTAGTGAGCCATATAGAGGGATTAAGCAAGTGAGCAAAAAACTTGACAAATGAAATGTAACGTGGAAAATTATGAGGTTGTGCTCTTAAATGGAGAAAGACTGCAGGAAGCAATAACACTGAAAGATTTGGGAGCCCTCATGCATAAATCACAAAAAGCTAACATACAGATCCAGCAGATAATAGGGAAGGCATCCTTCCTATAATTACTAAATGGAATTCCAGTTGTGGCCTAACCAGCATTTTATACTGTTCCAGCATAACCTCCTTGTTCTTCTATCTGTACCTTGGCTAATAAAGACAAGGGTTCTATAAATCTTCTTAACCACCTATCTACCTGCCCTGCTACTTCATGTGCACACCAGGGTCCCTCTGATCTTCAGTACTTCCCACATCCTACCATTCATATTGTAATGCCTTGTTAGCTCACCCTATCCCACAAGTGCATTACCTCTCACATTTCCAGGTTAAACCAGATCTCCTGTGCTCTGCCCAACTATCTTAGTGCTGCTTTTTATGTGACGGTGGTATAGGACAAATTATATGTAACTACTTTAAAACATTGGGTCAAATGAACATATCATTCACACATCGACACAGGTAGTGTAATATTTAATTTGCGAGCCAAAAATTGAAGAACTGTAAACCAACATGTTAGACATCTCCTTGACACCAACCAGGGGCTGCCTGGCAAGTGAGCAACTTTGTTGAACGAACAATCTGAACCCAGCTTGGGCATTCCGGAATTAGCTGGCAATAAGGTTGTCTCTGGCTTCTTGGGCTTTTGAAATGTTGCTCATTCTTCCTGTTATAGAGAACTGTCCTAATTAACCTCCTGATCCTCTGTCTCATCTCACCCGAGGATTGGGTACTCCTTCATTTCATCTGCATCCAGGACATTCCCCCCTCACCACCGAAGCTCTTTGTGGCTGAAATTGTGCAGACCACAGCAAACCCCAGTGATGTTGGACAGCTCTCTGATCTGTACTGCCAAACCCCAGGACAGTGGTCCTGACGTTGAAATCTCACCTTCAGGAGTCTCAATGGTCATGGTGAAAATGTGAACCGCATCGTACCTTAGTACTGCATCCACCTTACAGCTGTCATGGGTCAGGTTTACAGACCTTATGTCCTACCAGCCATCCCTGTCTAGATCAAGGACCTTGGAAAGAGGCAGATATCTGCAAGTGCCCCAGTAAGTACAGGTCATGGCACCTCCAAGGATAACTGGTACAAATCAGAGTTTAATGTCAGCTAGACAGAGCTCAACATATGCTTTTCTGATCAGTGTTTTATTCCAACTTACGCACCATCAATTCCAACAACACTAATTACTTGTTTCCCATATATGCAGAATATATACGTCCAGTCAAGTTTTCATCCAATTATCCTCAATCAACATATAATCTTCCCCTGGCTCCATTCAGCTTAGACGTCCTGCTAGGTTTTACGAGATAATATCTGAAACATGGCCTCAATAACCACAAATTATTTGAACATTCAGGGAATGGGATCTTTTGTGTTGATAAATTGCACTGGTTGGAGAGAGAGTGCTCACAAAGCAACATGGATACGGCTGTTTGCATGCCGCACTTGGGGTAAGTGAGCAATAGTGGAGAATCCTAATGTGATAGCTGTTTGACTCTCTTCATTGAGATAATAGGTAATGAAGAGGTATGCCCTGGTGAAAATGGCATCAGTAACATCCTGGATGTATTATTGGGTCAAGGATTTGGAGATGTCACACACATCCCCAACTGCCCCCTCAAAGAAAACTGCTAGCATAAAAAGAAAGGCTACCTGTGACCTTGACAGCAAGCAGGATGGGATTGCCGCTTAGTCTTTGTGAGCATCAGTTCAGCTGAGATAATACAGTGGGACATCCTTAATCTTCTGTGGTATTGCCGTTCCCAAAAATGCAGATAACTGTAGAGAAACCTATAAACCCTGGTTCTCACCGTTCCTCTGTACCTCCTTGGTGGATCTTCATCTGCTGCTTCTCCCTCTAAAGGCTACATAGCTGCCACTGCTGCCTGGTCTTGCTGACATTGCTAAAGCTGTAGTCTCTGCTGTTTCCTTCTGTGCTTCCTTCATAGTAGGAGCAAGGCCACAGGAAGGGCAGGCACAGGTTGGGACATGTCAGAAGATGATTCGTGATGAAAGTGTTATTGAAGGATTCCTGAAACCATCAAATGAAATGTTATGCACTCACACAGTGTGGCTTCTCAAAGAAGGTATTCCTCAATAAGAACCTCTGAAGTATGCAACCTCCCTAAAAGCACTGTGGACAATGAAAATATCTTTGTTAGAAGAAGCATCTTCTGCCTTAAATCTCCCTTTCATGACTTAGCCCAGGCCCTCGCAGAATTACTTTTTCTGTATGGCAACTGCTTTGCATTATCCTCTAGTACTTAATGTAGATTATTGTACCCAACTAAGAACATCAGATTCAGCTTTTTAAATTCCTTGTTACGATAAGATTTGGTGAGCTTATATCACAAGGTAGTAATTTGTGTGCACAGTGGAATACTTATGATTACTTGGACCTGTAATTTGTTATGTGCATTATTTGATGATTACTGACTTGCAGATGAAGTGACAACTGAAGGAAGATGAGTACTGTTGCTTAATCAGTGAAGTCACAATTACTGCACTGTCCCTTGCAACGCCTCAAAAGAATACTATCAGCTCCACCTCTATGGAAAATAAAGTAACTTACATCTCCCACTTTTCCTGTGGTCTCTTCTGTTTTGTGAACTTGTTGTGTTTTGAACCCATGAAACAAAGTGCCAGCTTTCTTTTTGCATGAGTGACTTGTAGGCTGTGCCTTTGACCCACAAAATTTGGATAAGTATATGAATAGGAAAGGTTTGGAAGGTTATCGGACCAGCACAGGAAGGTGGGACTAGTTTATTTGGGAACATGGTCAGCATAGACTGGTTGGACCATCTGTTTCCACGCTGCCTGCCTCTCTGCGCTAAAAAAGCAGGTTGGTTTCATGTTAGTACTGAAAATCCTATAGCATGATCTCAACAGGTTGTGAGTGGTCAAATCAATGGCAGATGCAGTAAAATTTGGATAAGTATGAGGTTATTCACTTCAGAAGTAAAAACAAGGCGGCAGATTACTAACTGAATGGCTGTAAATTGGGAGAGGGGAGTGTGCAGTGGCTCCTGGGTGTCCTTGTGCACCAGTTGCTGAAGGTAAGCAAGCAGGTGCAGCAGGCAGTAAAGAAGGCTTTACTACTCTTCATTGCGAGAGGTTTCGAGTACAGGAGCAGGGATGTGTTGTTGCAGTTATACAGGGCCTTGGTGAGGCCACACGTAGAATATTGAGTGCAGTTTTGGTCTCCTTTTCTGAGGAAGGGTGTTCTTGCTCTCGAGGAAGTCCAGCGAAGGTTTACCAGACTGATTCCAGGGATGGCGGGACTGATGTGTGAGGAGAGATTGACTAGGTTGGGTTTGTTTTCACAGGATTTCAGACGAATGAGGGGGTATCTCACAGAAACTTACAAAATTCTAACAGGACTGCACAGGGTAAATGCAGGGAGGATGTTCTCAATGGTGGGTGTGTCTGGAACCAGGGGTCACATTGTGAGGATTCGGGGTAGACCATTTAGGACGGAGATGAGGAGACATTTCTACACCCAAAGAGTGGTGAGCCTGTGGAATTCATTACCACAGGAAGTAGTTGATGCCAAAACATTGAATGTATTCAAGAGGCAGCTGGATATAGCACTTGGGTGAACGGGATCAAGAGTTATGGGGAGAAAGCAGGGTTAGGCTGTTGAGTTGGACGATCAGCCATGATCGAAGGGCCGAATGACCTCCTCCTGCTCCTATTTTCAATGTTTCTGTGTTACTATAAATATAAGATGCCTCGCTGTCTCTTAACTCTGAAATGGATGCTTGAAGCCCTAAAATGTTGAATGTCATTAGCCTGAGAGCAAGTGTGATGATGATGTGATGCTGGTGCTTTCCTGATGTCGGATTGTGTGGGTGAAGGGTCCAGGATGAGTGTCCATTGACCGTGGAGACACAGAGAAGTGGTTCCATGTGATGAGGAGCTCAGTGGACACTGACTGCAGTGGACGCTGTCAAGGCACATCACCAGGCAGCCACTCTGTTTTACCATCTACCATCGCTGCCACATTTCTCAATTGTAGACAGGAAGGATTGGTTGTGTGATCTTAATACAATGTTGGGCTGTTAATGAGATGCAAACGCATAGAAATAAACTTGTTGACTCCTGATGGTAGAATTTTGAATTAGTTAAATTAGATTTAATCCAGAGAGATTTGAGGATCTGATGTTTGATCACTGGAACAATTAAATCAGCTTGCTCATGATTCTCACCTTCTCAGAAAGGAGAAAGTCATGCCCGGTGTTACTGAGAATATTGGGAAATCTAGGATAACAGATCTGTCCCCTTCAAGATCCCAGAATGTGGTATCTTTCTTCACCTTAATGCACTCTTCAACATTAACCCTTTATGGACCAAGAGCTTATGGATATTTTCAAGTCAACCTGTTCAGAGATGTTATTATACCCCCTTGAAGAAGGTGGGACTTCAACCTGGGCCTCCTGCCCCAGAGGTAGGAACTCTATCACTGTGCCAGAAGGGCCCACCCTCCTCTAACTTTATACAATAAAGACCACATTGTGATCCGGTCCACATTTGAATAGCCAGGTAGCAGCCAGATAGGCACATAGTTGAACATTCCTCATTTGGAAGGGTACTGGTACCCACTACCCTGACCTCGTAAAATTCCAGAGTCTTCAAATTAGGAACAGGAAAGATTGAACTAAAATAATATAGAAAATTATTGCTGGTTACTTTATAGTCAGTAACCAAGAAGCTTTCAATGTTAGGAAATAGCTTGCTTATTCCATTAGTACATAAATGGTTAAAGCCTCTGTTTTTATACCTGTTTACAACAAAGAAATAATAAATGGTTAAAATAGAGACAAATGTTTTGCTTTAGGAAAACAAGCATGAATATCAATTGAGCAGTCTACAGGGAGTAATTGTATTCCTTGCTCAATGTTAATGCAGTGATGTGGTCTCATCATGCATCCTCTGGGGAAAGATATGCTCTTCATCTGTCCAGCTCTTTCACAACATCTATTCTTCCCCTTTTATCTCTCCTGTCATTCTTCAATGTCTGTGTTGTTTTAAAATGAAAATGGAGGGACCTCCACACTGTAATTCTCTTGCCATTGATGCATGTTTTTACTTATTTGCAATGGGCATAGGGCCAAAAATGATCCAAAAATGGCTGTGTTGGCCAAGAACAAATGAAATAGGTAGTTCCCTGAGCCTTTTTTTTAATCTGAGATGCAGTGGGCAGGATCTTGCTGAAGTGCATCTCAAAGCATACCTTGTTGGTTAGAATTCTTTCCTTGTCGGCATAAATATTCACAAGCTGATAATAGCACCAGGCCATCAGATACCTTGTAATATAACTGTGCATCTCCGTAACCAAAGAGGTTCAAGTGTTGAGAGAGAAACTGCAGAATAATGTTGAAGGATGGTGCATTAGCTTCAAATCAGGTACACAGCTAAAAAGAATGAGCACAAAGGAAAGATAGAGGGTTAGAAACAATTTAAAATTTGACATTTTTAGAATTGCAAAGAGTAGTTTACTTGATACATAAATGAGACTCCACATTTTAAATTGTTCAGTTTCTGGGCCAGAAAGGTAGATCCTAATTGGTTCATGAGATGTGGTCACTATTAGCTAGGCGAGCAATTGCTATTCAGGGGAATAGTTTAAAGTCAGTCCCTGTGGGCCTGGAGTCACATGTAGGTCAGACTGGGAAAGGATGGCAGATTTCCTTCCCTGAAGGACGTTAGTGAACCGAATTGGTTTTTACAAGGATTAACAGTAGTTATGTAGCCGCCATTAGGCTAGCTTTTAACACTTCATATTTTTCATCAAATTTAAACGTCACCATCTGCAATGGTGGGATTCACCTGGGTCCCCTGGGAAAATTATCCTGGGGATTAGGGGATTACTAGTTCAGCTTCGTTACTGTCACACCACAAGTACTTAGGTTCCAGTCCTAGCTTTCTATGGTGCATTTAATAAGCAACTAAAATGCAAAGCTTGCGGGCTCTTAAAAGTAACAGTAAGGCTAAGGCGTGATGTCATTTGTGTGAAGCCAACAGCAACTGGCATTAATTGACCACAAAGTTCTAGATATTCACAATTTGTCTCATTCTGTGTCTCTTTCACAGCATGCTTCCAATTTTTAACTACAAAACATGGCAGAGCTTTCTCTTGTATGAACTTGCAGGCCTATTTGCATTTTAATAAAGGAAGACATTGTAAACATACTATTACAGTTTAAGCAAGATAGCACCCTACTAAAATGTTGAGCAAGACAAAACAATTGGCAGTAAGCCGTGAGGAAGTTGATGTCCAGCAACAGAGCAAGGGGGTTTTCAACTTCAGTAGAGCTGGAATTTGAGAGTTTGTGACACTATGTTGATGGAACAGCAAAAACGACTTCTTGAATTTATTGGCACTTGTTTTTAAAATTATTTGTGTGTTTTGCAAACATTGGTCATTTTTAAAAAAATTTTTTCCTGGTTCATTGCCAATCAGTCTCCCTCTGTGTCCCTTTCACAACTGTGTCTAGAAGCATATTTCCATTTTCTACCAACAATACACAGGTAATAGCATTGATATCTTTCCAGTTGTCTGGAAAGCTTTCCAAATTCAACACTTGTTCTTTACTAAGTTAAAGAAGTATTAATTGTAAGTTGAAGAAAGGCAGCATTGTTTCACCTCTCAATGTTTGCTCTTCAGACTGAAGCACTCTGTGTCCAAATCCAGCGGGACCCTGACAACATTCTGCTGATAAATAGTAAGTATCATTGGTGCCACACAAGTGCCCAGAAATGACCATTTCCTCCAAGAAAGAATCCAATCATTGCCTATTGACATTCAGTGGTTGAATTGCCTACTATCAACATCCTAGGGAATTCTACAGTGAGCAGCTCACCCCCGACTTCTAAAACCTTGTCCACTATCTGCAAAACATGGGTCAGCAGTGTGGTGGGATACTTTCTACTTGTTTGGGTGAGTGCATCTCCAACGACACTCAACTCAACACCATCCAGGATAAAGCAGCCTACTTGATTGGCACACCATTTATCACCTTCAACATTCACTTCCTCCTCCATTGACGTGCAGTGGTAGCTCTGTACGCAATCTACAAGATACACTGCTCCTTACACAGCACCTTCCAAGACCAAGACCTGTACCATCTAAAAGGACAAGGACAGCAGATACGTAGAAGCACCACCATCTGCAGTTCCCCATCCAAGCTGCATATCATTCTGACCTGGAAATATATTGCTTTTCTTTCAATAGTGTTGGGTCAAATCTAGAACTCCTTCTCAACCGCATTGTGAATGTATGTGCATCGCAAGGACTACAATGGATCAAGACAGCAACCTGGCACCACCTTCTCAAGGTTACATAGGAATGGCCAATAATTGTTTACAGCCATCACGCTCACTTCCTGTGAATGAATAGAAATATGTGGTTCAATGCCAAGTTTACTTTGAAATGTCGCTGTGAAGAACCTTGGGATATTTTGTTATGCTCAAGGCACTTTATAGATATGATTTGTTGTTGTAGTAAAGACTAAAATTCCCTTTCTCCTGCTGCTGTCAGCTCCATGTGTGTATAACTCTGCCCCCACTGGGGGTTCCTTGTCTTTCAGTTATTGTCTTCCTTGTTCTTGGCAGGCTGTTCCAAATAGCTTCACCGTATTCTGTGCCTTTCAAAAATTCCTGAAATCCTGCTCTTTGGTTGTGCTCCATTCTACCATTCTCCCACTTCAAACCGTCTTACTGTGCACTGCTACCTTGAGAACTGTTCAGCGCTCCAGCCATCTCAGAAATATCCCCAAAGCTATAAAGTGGAACTCACCCACACATTGTAACCTTCTCTTAATCCCAACATAATCTGAATTTCCTGCACGTTTCCGGAGACTTGGGTGCGGTACATGCAAATTATTGTAGAGGTACAGAGGACGAAAAGGGTCACTTTTTCCCTTGTACCTCACATTTGCCCTGCTTTCAGTATCAGCTCTGGCTTAATGCGCAGTGCCCCTGCCTCTGAGCCCAACAGTTGTGGGTTCAAGTCCAATTCCAGAAACCTGAACGTATAATCTAGGTACTGTTCTGATGATTTTTGGTAAGCACGGGAGAGATTCAGGTTTGGGGTCTGATCATGTGGAACTCCACTTATTCAAATCAGCTTATCTATAAATGAACTTTATCTCAAATTGGTCTTCATTGCTCAGACCTTGAGTATAGGCGTTGGAATGTTATGTTGAGGTTGTACAAGACGTTACTAAGGCCTGTTTTGGAATACTGTGTGCAGTTCTGGTTGCCCTATTATAGGACGGATATTATTAAGTTAGAGAGGATTCAGAAGAGATTTACCAGGATGTTGCCAGGAATGGAGGGTTTGAGTTAAAAGGAGAGGCTGGACTAGTTGGACCAAAGGGTCTGTTTCCGTGCTGTATGACTCTAAACAAGCATGTAGTTCATAAAGAGGAATTTTTGTTGCTACAATTTCTCAGTCGCACTCAGGTCCCTTAGGAATCTTGCAAAACCATGATAAGCATTCATTAAGTGAAGTTTAAATTCTAATCTGTTCTGTGTTCGGAATATAGACCACAGTAATACTCCTCTGTTCTACACTGATTAAGTTCATCTCATCTCTTTAATCAGATTCACTCCAGAGCTGAAAGCAGAGCGCCATCCTTTTGTATACCTGCCTTTTGGCGCTGGACCCAGAAGCTGTATCGCGATGAGACTGGCGCTATTGGAAGCCAAGATTGTACTAGTGCGGATTCTGTCGAAGTATAGTTTCCAGACCTGCCCCGAAACACAGGTACACAACATTTAGCTCTGTCCTAGTATACGATGGAGCCTTGTTGATTCTGTAGTAAAGAGAGACTGTGCCAAGTCTACACAGAGAGCCACAGATTTATCAGGGGAAAGCCATGCTTTTGGATGGTTGGATGCAACATGAGGATTATGAGAGAAATAACTTTAGGATTTAGAGACTGGATGGTTCCAAAGCTTAGACATTGACCTTTCACTGGCTATGGGGAATTGTCTTTCAATACAGTACACACTGGCCTTTTCCCAGTGTCATGGAGGGCGGGGGGATTGGTGTGGTCAGACAATGCCTGATATGGTGTAATGAGTTAGTGTCCTTGAACTGGATGAAATGTCTTAGACATTAGAGTTACATTGGGTGTGCTAGGCTGGAAACTGACCTCTAACCAACTGAAGAAGGTTAATAACTTCCATTAAGAGAGATAAACAGAGCAGTTGGGCTGAAACACCTTGTTGAGATGGAGAACAAGTAGAGGGAGTTACACCCTGAATATAATTTAGGAGTGTATGATGATGAGACTGTGCACCTGAAATGGATGTCAGCAGCTGATTTTATACACTACAGAAAAGAGCACTTAAAGAGAGGACATGGGGACCAACTAATTGAAATAAAAGTACAGGTAAATTCCTTCCATTCAATATTTGCTATAACAGTCAGGTATAGGAAATCTTACATCTTCATCTTAGAATAAATTATTAATGGTCGCTTCATCTTTCTGAGAAAAAATCTTACTTCAAATTGCCTGCCTACATAAAATATTAACAACTTAATCTAGTTTGGTGTATTGTGTTAGTAAAAGGCAGTCAGCTGCTGCTAGGGGAGTTACAAATCCCACAATATCCTGGGAGATGTCGATGAGTGGAATCACAGATCAGGTTCTTTGACGTGTTGGGGATGTGTAGATGGGACAGAGGAGGCCTGTTCTGAGGTCACTATTATGACCAAGCCTGTGATTAAACGTATAGTTTGCTGTAGATATAGGAAGGTGAATAATTCATAATCACCATGCTACTCTATAACAGTTGCATCTTTATCTGTGAATAAATGTATGCCTTTTGCATTGATATTTACCTTGAAGATGTAAAGAATAACTATAAATGTGGCATCAGTAATCCTCTGTAGTCCCATTGATTTCTCTGTCTCTGATTCAATTGGAAAATGAGTGAAACAGAGCAAGGTTCTGGGGATCCCGGGCACGGGCAACTATGAGGCTGCCATCCTCATGACCTCACTGAATGGACTCCTGCCAATTCAAGTGAGTTGGCTTTAATTCATGCCTACCATTTGGCAATGTGGTAGGCTAATGGCTAGGGAGAGATACCAACTGAATGGCACAAAATGGCATCTGTACCTATGTTCATGAATAATAAGAGGGTGATAAATAGTCCCCTTGAACTTTCTTTGAGTTTATATCCTTATAGCTTATCTGTGTTACAACCTTTGACTCTTATCCAAGTGACAGTTCCTGGCTGTGATTTACTGGAATTTGCACCTGCTGCTAAGGTGTTCAGTGATCATTTATGTTTGCAAAAGGCTCCCTTCAAAAGACATTCCATTTGCTGTAGGCTGTTTTCTAGCTTGCTGCTCATGATGCCCATCTCACGTGAGACTGTTGCCCTGTTCCTGGCTAAGTCAGCAAAGACTGGAAAAGGGAAGAAGAAACTTTTGGTTTAATGTCACAAGCTGACATTCTGCCCAGCAGATCACCCATTGAAACAAACAATGCAGACAACTGTGCTTAGTGTAACATTTTTAAACCTAAAATATAGTTTCTCTACCATTGGAGGAGAGTGAAAGATGGGGGATATTTGAAAAGGAAAGTATTAAAGATTTAAGAGCCAGTGGAGGGTACAATGGGATGAATGGTAGTTTCCTGTTTGTTTCTATTATATCTACTTATGTTCTATCTAATTCTGGGGGATTCATGTGGTCCGCCAGAGATGGTCAGGACTGGACTTATTTAGTCCCTGTCCCCTGGTCCTGCAATCACTCATCACGTGTTTTTCTTTTTAGGTTCCACTGCGCATAAAATCGTTGGGCTCCCTTGGACCGAAGGAGGGAGTGATCCTTAAGATTGTGCCAAGGAAATGTTAACCCCATGGGTGCACCTGATTGTCTCAACATAATCTACGAATCTGACAGATGATCAAAACTTTGAAATGATTAACCATTGTGTGAGGGTAGACTTTAACAGACGTTCTGAGCCTGAATGTGGATGGGAGATGTTAAGAGCTCCTAATAATGAAGTGGTAACTTGCATAATCTTCAACTAATGCGGTTTGAATTGATTTAGGTTAGATTAATAAAATAATGCTCACCCCTATTAGTGGGATCCCAGTGATTAAAGGCTAATATAGAAAAAACAGCAGATTGAAGAAAATATTGTAAAATACTAAAAATAATCATGGATGTTCAGTGTGATTACCTGACTTTAAATAAATCTGTTTTCTCTGTATCCTGCCTTAGACCATTTGAATTTTTAATATTGTTTCTTACTGCATCTTTCACAACCTCAGAACAATTCAAAACACTTGGGAGTGAATAAACTATTTTTGAAGTGAAGTCACAATTGAAATGTCAGAAAAATAGCAGACAGTTTACTTATTGCAAGGTTTCACAAACAATAACATTGAATCAGTTTAGCTGGTCATTACAACCCAACATCTGAGTCAAGTTTTTATGACACCATGACTCAAAAAGATTTGCCTTCCATGACTCTAGAATTTCCAGAATTGTTTTTCAGCCAACTGAATACTTTTGAAGTGCAATGTGGGAAACAGCAAAAGAACGATTGCATTTCAAAAAATGATTGATCACCTTTGCAGTACTTTGAGATAACTTGAGGATGTGAGAGGTGCTATATAAATGCTAATTCATTTTATCCAACAATTCACCAACTTTCACTGCTACAAGATTTTTGAGTTACTCCTGGTTGCCTCTGGGAAGTTAAAAACAGAAACCAAAGAAATCCAACCACAATGTTAGCTGGTTCTGAGGAAGGGTCACCGGACCCGAAACGTTAACTCTGTTTTCTCCTTCATAGACGCTGCCAGATCTGCTGAGCTTTTCCAGCAACTTCTGTTTTTGCTCATGTTATCTGGGTCAGTCTTTCACAGCAGTTGCGGGTTTGGACTTGCCTCCATTTGAATGAGAATTCAAAGCCAATGTTTCTCTCCTACCACCCTCCACAATCCCTGAAGTGCAAGATGTCATATCAGTTCCATAGAATCTTGTGGTACAGAAGGAATCATTCAGCCAAATGTACCTGTACCAAACATCTGAAAACTACCCATTTAGTTCCACTCCTCTGCACTTCCTCTGGTTTTCTTTTTAAGTATAGTCTAATTTTTTTTTAAAAAGTTATTGAATCTGTATCCACCTTCCTGTCAGGCAGTATGATCCAAATCCTATCAAGCTGTTGCATTTAAAAAAAAACCTCACCTCCCATTAGTGCCTTCACCTCCGATATTTCCTTACCAATCTAACCGCATTGAATTGAAGTAAAACACTCCAACTTTCTTTCCAGGATGGATGGAACTATCTACACACTCTCCTCTCAGTAGTTCCACACAAATGCATTTTTCCTTGCAACCTTTCGTATTGTTACTTTGCAAGTGTTGAACCAAAGTGCCTTCCAGCACTCTTCGAATTAGAGGATGTCAAATAAAATATGTGCAAGAGACAGCTTTCTTACAAAGATGTTAAAGTCTCAAAAATCTATTATGGAGTTAAACCTCATCTAAAAGAAAAGGTTTATAAATGTAGTTGAAATCTCAGAGCAATAACTGAAGGAAAACTTGGTTTTTACAGTAAAGTACAGTTCCATGGTTCAGACCAAGGCCAAGATCCGAAAGGACCAAGAGATGAATGTTATATCCAACCTCAACAAGACAAAATTAAACAGCACTCTCAAAGACACTTTAGCACCAGTACATTGATCAGCCCCACAGCTATCAAAAGCCCAAAGCTTTTGTGAGAAGAATGAAGAGGGATCTGATAGAAACCTATCAGATATAAAATTCCAACAGGACTATTATGGGAAAGGTATTAGGAGGATTCAGATGAAATTAACAGGATGTTGTCAGGAATGGAAAGTTTGTGTTATAAAGAAAAGGTGGATAGGCTGGGTCTGTTTTCACTGCAGTGTAGGAGGTTGTGGGGTGACCTTTATAAAACCATGAGTGGTATAGATAAGGTGAATGGCAGATGTCTTAATGGTGGGAGATTTCAAGACTATCAGGCATATTTAAAAAGTGAGGAGAAAGATCCAAAAAAGACACAAGGGGCAATTTTTTTACACAAGAGAGTGGTTTGTGAGTGGAATGAACTTCCTGAGGAAGTGGTCGGTGTGTACAGTTACAATGTTTAGAAGACATTTGGATAAGTACATGAATAGGAAAGGTTTGGAGGGATGTGGGCTAAGTTAGACAACTGGGACTCGTCTAGTTTGGGATTATGGTCAGCATGGACTGGTTGGACCAAAGGGTCTGTTTCTGTGCTGTATGACTTTAAGACTAGACAAGGCAAATGCACTAAGGCTGTTCTCAATGACTGGGAGTCCGGAACCAGCGGTCACAGTCCAAGGATATGGGGTGGGAAATTTACCACTGAGATGAGGAGAAATTTCTTCGCCCAGAGAGTGGTGATCCTGTGGAATTCCTTGCAAAAGAAAGTGATTGTAGCCAATATGTTAAATGTTTTTGAGAATAAGTTAGATACAGTTCTCAATGCTAAAGGGATCAAAAGGTATAGGGAGGAAGCGAGAACTGAGAGGACTGGGTTGGATAATCGGCCATGGTCATATTGAATGGCAAGCAGCCTCGAAGGGCTGAAAGGCCTTCCCCTGCCCCTGGTTTCTATGTTTCATCTTTGTAAGTGTATTTCCTCTCCCTTTGTACAAGTACTGCAAAGGCTGAGTGACATAAAACAAACCTTTCAGCCAAACAATCTGTATCAATTCAGACTGAGTTAGGGAACCAGAAAATTGCTGCTCACATCCCACAGCACAAAACAATAGGTTACTTCCACTCCTCTTGGGGAGCTGACTCACCTCTCCAACTCATCTGTCCATCCTTTCACCTCACAAGAAATCCAAAAGGAACCAAATGCTTGAAACAACATCTTCATTCCAGAAAAGACTTTTTTTTTAAACAATGTGTTTCTAGAGCTGCTACATTTTCATTAAAGTACAAAAGCTGAGACATTTGTTGCAAAAATTTGATAACAGTTTGTCTTCATAATCTTCCAGGAAGAATTGCATTGGCTACTTCAGCAGTACAGTGAAAGGTCAAGGGTTTCTGTGCCTCTGGTTATCATAACTTCTGTTTAAGACTGGCTGTTATCTGCAATTCTGGCTCCCCCATCAGTCATACTGAGTGTGCTTGGGCATCCTAAAGTAGTCACACACTGGATCATGTCTCAAAACTGAATGACTACCAGCTTGCAACTGAACCTGGTGGAAATGAGTTCAGGAACCTGCCTATTGCTGCTAACATCTCAATCCCTCTGACTGTTTTTTGTACAATTTCACCCGTTTAGTTTTATATGGTTCTGGTTCAGATTCAACCCTGTGACTACTCCAACATGCCATTTCAGAACCAAGGCCGGTGTGCCATCATGTCAACTCCCAATCCAACCTCAAAGTTTGTTGGATTACTTACAAAGTAATGGAATGATTACAGTGTAGGAGAAAGTCATTCATCCTGTATGCCCATGTGAGTGCATTTTCAACCCTAACCCCTCGATGCCTTCGGTTATTTTGCCAATCACCTTAAATTGGTGTCCTGTAGTTGTTGATCCTTCTCCCACTGCAAACAGGTTCCCTATGTCTACTCTGTCCAGACCCCTCATTATTTTGAACGCCTCCGTCAAATCCCCTCTTCAAGGAACACAATCCCAGCTTCTCCCATCTCTCCATGTAATTGATGGTCATTATCCCTGGAACCTGAATCATTTCTTAATGCCATCCCAGCCTTTCTAAAGTGCAGTGCTCAGAAATGGACTTATTACTTCATTTGGTGAACTAACGATTTTTAAAAATAATCACCATAGCCACCTTGCTTTTGTACTCAGTGGGATGCATCTTACGTTTGTTTTATCGTGTCAGTTTTGTCAGGTCTCAGGGAGGGTGTGTGTAATGGAAACGTGTTATGGCCCATCTGCAGACTGATCTGAGCAGGACTGATTTACAATTTAATTCACAATTATGTGTAATTTGACATCAATGAAGTGTTTTAGCTATAGATTCATGTAAAGTGAAGCTAGATAACTACATAATGGAGAAAGGAACAGAAGGATATGTTGATGGGATGAGTTGAAGTAACAAAGAAAAATAAATATTTGCAATTTTGTTGCATTTCATATTTTTATGACATACTGAGGCATGTCCTGGCCACACAAATACTTTTGTTGTGTAGTCACTGTTTTAATGTAGGAAGCACAGCAAAACATTTGTATACTACAGTACTTGTGGGATTTTTCAATAATAACAAGACCATCTGTTTTGGTATTGGTTAGGGAATATATATTGGCAAAAATGTTGGAAAAGTCCTATACTCTTCTTCAAAATAGCACCATAGGATCTTTCACCGAATGAGAGAATGAATATTCCTAAAAGGCATCAGAGTGGGCTTTATTATGGGTCCAATACTATGCATGGCAACGTCCAAAAGGAAGACAGTAGTATTCATCATTCTGATTGATTTATTTCTGCAGTGAGTTTAATTGCAGGTCACTGGTTCTTTCAATGAGCATGGTGGCTCAGTGGTTAGCGCTACTGCCTCACAGTGCCAGGGACGTGGGTTCAATTCCATGCTCAGGTGACTGTCTGTATGGAGTTTGCATGTTCTCCCTGTATCTTGGGTTTCTCCCCATTGCCCTGATTTTTCTCCCACAGTCAAAGATATGCAGACTTATGTGGATTAGCCACAGGAAATGCAGGGTTACAGCGATAGGTTAAGGGGGTGGTCTGGGTGGGATGCTCTTTGGAGGGGTGGTATGGACTCAATGGGCCTGCTCCCATGCTGTAGGGATTGTATGATTCCAAAGTACTCTCAAAACGCATGATTAAACATTCCCAGTCCCTGAATGATGTTAGCAATGATGAGCCAGTTGGGAAAATGTGGCGAGATCAGAAACGTTAGATTCTTGACAGCACAAAAAATCTGATTTTATTCCCCAGGTTTGAACAGCGAGATCAGAACGTTGCCAGTAAGTGGCAAGAAGGCTATTTGCACACATTGATGCTTCATTAATACCTAATTGCCTCATTGATTTGCAACTTCCTATTCTTCCATGCACCAGAGGGAAATCAGATGGTGACAATCCCCAACATGAAAGTCAGAGCAGGTACCTGCCGACTCCAGTTCTCCATGTGCTCCTCTGGACTTCCAGCTTAGACACATGGCACTGATGGCACCCAGGGGGGCAGTGACTGCATCACCCATCCACCGAGGT